CCTCCCTGGTGGCTCAAGGGGTTAAATCTCAGCACTATGAAGCTATCCACAGCCACTGCAGCATGAGTTCAGTCCTTGGCCAAGAACTAACCCACTGGGTGCAGCAGACCTCTCCTATCTCATCCACTGCTCCCCTCAGCAGTGTATTTCAGTACATCTGCCTGTTTTGCTCTCCGTTCTGTCTCTGCTGAATCTCCTCACCTCTGCCTACACCCCAGGTCTTGTATGCATAAATAAATAAATCTTAAAAAAAAAAAAAGTAGGAGAATCTCCTGGCTGTTGACATTCTGGAGGCTACTAGTTCTCATCACCCTACCACATCTGTTTGGCTCTCACTGAAAACTAGATTGAGAATTTTTTCAAATGCATTGTTTTCTAGGAGGGCTCAAAAACTGAAATGCATGAGTATACTTAATATTTACATGTATTTTATCCAACGATTTATTTCCTTGTCCAGAAAAAGACAGGCTTTGCACCAATAAGCTTCTGAAATAGTCTTGGGTTGGAATTTTAGCTCCATCTTTAAGACCCTCTATTCCTGTTTCCTCATGGGCAAAGTGAGAATAATGATACCAAACCAACACACTCTTGACATTAACTCGACATGCAAAGCTCAAATATTGCATCTGTCCCAGAATTGGAACCTAAGGAATATTACTCTCCTCCCCACCCCTTCCCTTCCTGTGGTGCTTTACCCTCTGAACATATTGTTTCCAAACAGCAGTGGCCACAAATCTCTGAACAAACAAGCAACCCATTAAAGACGAAATTCTAATAGGGATGGCTATTCCCCCATACCATTAACAAGCAATGATTAGACACCAGTTGATCAGAGAATTCAGTTCAGTTTATTCAGTTCTGACACTGTCTATCCAGAGAGCACAAGATTCCACAAGTTAGGGGTTCTGAACCACCAGATGTGCCCCACCTATATCCGACTCTAGTTGGCAAAGTATATTTCTCACCAGCTGGCACTATACTAGATATTCCTATGACTGCTTCCTCTTTAATGTGCTAGAGTAACTCACAGAACTCAGGAAAAAAATTTACTTACTAGATTGCTGTTTATTATAAGAGGATATAAATCAGGAACAGCCAGAGGAGAGAGATGCAAAGGGTTAGGTCTGGGGAAAGGGTTTAGAGCCTCCATGCCCTCTTCAGATGCACCACGCTCCCCAAATCTCCACACTTGCTAACCTGGAAACTCCTGAAACATTGACCTCTTGGTTTTTATGGAGGATTCATTACATAAGCATGATTGATTCAATCATTGGCCACTCATGATTGATTCAAAGTCCAGTCCCTCTCTCCTTCCACAGGTGTCAGGGGAGGGGAGGGTGAGACTCAAAGTTCCAACTCTTTAATCACGTGGTTGATAGTCCTCGAAACCAGTCCTCACCAAAGCACAGGTGCTTCTGGCTTCCCCAAAGCACAGGTGTTTCCTCATTCTTATAACAAGAGGCACCTTTATCAGTCTCAACACTTAGGAAATTCCAAGGGTTTTGAGAGCTGTGAGCCCAGAACATCGGATAAAAAGCAAACATAAATGAGAAATATATGCTGGCCATCTGAATGATCAAATCTATATTTCTTAGTAGTCATAATAATATCACAGTATTACAGACAAGCAAGGAGGATTCTTCCACAATATCACAACTCAAAGCTGGGGTGTTACAGTCAGTAAAGAAAAAGTTAACACAATGAATACAAATCAAAATCAAATTGAAAAGCTTGTCCACCACTGCTTATAAGACAATGAAATATACAGATTATTTGGCAATTGAGAGGCTTTTCACCCTTTTTTCAGTGAAAAAAAAAAAAGAACTAAATAAAGTATGAAACCAAGTCATTTATTTCTTCGGTGAGTCAGACACAACAAAGGTTTGTACCAGTATCCAGTTTTGTGAGTAGAGGAAAACTTGAAAGCGAAAGAGTCATGAAGCAAAACAGTAAGGAGGACTCTCAAGTTTCAATTACCAATGGTGTTGACTCTGCTAACCTCTAACAAAAGCAATTAGCTATTTTGACAACAAACAAGATTTATTCTGGAGCAAATAACCAAACAACGGAAGAGAGGGCAGACTTGGGGAGCTTGTTCCTGGCAAGACTCACTTGCACTTCCCTAAATCCAAGTCTCACAACCTCTTACATAACCTCGGGAGGGTCACCCCTCAGTTCCACCAGAGGCGGAAACAAAGGAAGATGTAAGGCATGTTGTTCCTATAGTTTGAGATTTCCAGTCTCCCACCCTCCCTTATATAGGTTTCTGAGTATTAATGTTCACAGCAAATTCATTTTCTTCTCTGTGATTCCAAAGCACTATTTTCCAGCCTCCATCAGATCTAAATCTAAAATCTACTGTAATTATTTCTTTGTCTTTCCAAACTTTAGTGGAACAAACTTTATTCTTCCTACTATATCTACCTTCTAGGAAAATTCCAGCTACTTATAGATGCTTAAAAAAAATGTTTTTCAAATCTTAGCCATAGGGGATAGGAGAATATTGTTAAAGTGAAGTTTTTGGCAACTACTTTTGTATTGCTGGGATAAGGAATTCAACTAAACAAGAGTATGATAAAATGTGCTGTCTAAATAACATTTAACGGCATAGACACATAACAAATGGGGAGTGTCTCAAATAACTGAGTCACCATCCCTCTTTTTACCTCCATGTTTTCCACCCATCTATCCTAAATGAAGCTCATGGTTCTTTAATCTCCTCTACTTCAGAATCTTCAAATGACGTAGCCAATTACCCACAAGTACAACTAAGCCTTTGATAATATCTTCAGAATGATGCCATAAGATTATAGATACTGAAAGGCCCTTCTGAGCCTACAATCTTTTGTTCTTCTAACTGTTCTACTCTCAGACTTACAATGAATATGTTCAATATACCCATGGGACCTGAAATTTCTTCATAACCATCATTTTTTCAATTTTTCATACCTTATCCTACTTCAATCGTCTTCCAATTTTGTGTAGTCTCTGTCAATATTAGTGATATCTGCAAATCACCATGGCCATAGTTTAACTAGGATAATCCTTCACTTTTGCTCATTCCTATTGTCTTTCTCTGGTTTTATCACTGAGTATAAAAATATTGCTAAAGAAATAAAGTCACAGGCCTACCTGGTGGCGCAAGGGGTTGAGACACAACCTATGAAGCTATCTGCAGCCACTGCAACGTGAGTTCAATCCCTGGCCAGGGAGCAACCCATATGGCGCATCAGAATTCTCCTGATTCTCCCGCTGCTCCCCTCAGCAGTGTATTTCACTCAGTCTGCCTGTTCTGCTCCCCATTCTGTCTCTGGTAAATCCTCTCACCCCCACACCTCTGGCCTGTACCCCAGTTCTTGTATGAATAAATAAGTATTAAAAGAAAAAAAGAAGAAATAAAGTATCAGTGAATTTTAATGCTTTCCAGTCTGTGGTGAGTTTTTCCTAGTGTTTTACAGCCCTTTCAGTCATTAAATCAACTATCTTTGAACTTTTATAATCATTATACCAATCTTTGCTTTCAAATACCCAACCACACCATAATCTTGACCACTCAAGTAAATGACTGTCTTTCTACTTTGCTGTGACTATTCCTAAACTTACCCCCCTCCATCTTCCAATATCCCTAGATAGGCACCTTTTCCTCCTTCTATTATATTGAAGGGGCCTTCTTGGTTTGCAGCTAGTCACCTTCTTACTATTCTCAGATAAGTGAGAGAACAAGCTCTCTGGGTGTCTTTCTTTAAAGATGTTAACCCCACCATGAGTCTCCCCACCCTAATGACCTCATATAAACCTAATTATATCTCAAAGGCCCCAACACTTAATACCATCACAATGGGGTACTGGGCTTGAGGACACAAAATTTTATCTTCATAACAATACCTGACAGCCTCTCCAAACCGTTTAGGAAGCAACCTGTTCCTCCCACAGACCAGCTTCCAAGGCTTCCAGTTCTCATGGCATTGGCAGAATTATCAAATGCACCCCTAAGGGCTACATCTAGCCTGGAGAAGCAATTAAGCCATCTACAGTTTAATCCAAAGAGGGGCATTGAAAACTGATGGTGAAAAGTGAATTACCCAGTGAGAATAACTCAAGAGAGTTTCAATCCCAAGAGGCAAGCAAATTCAGAGAATATGGAGTGGAATATACTAGTATTCCAGTATTTTACATATTTCAAAACAACACCTCTGTTTGCTTCTTAGAGGAGAAGTGTAAGATCTTTTCTTTCTGGTGTGTAAGATGTTTTCTTTCCAGGACTAAGTCAGAAAAGTTCAACTACTGAGCCCAAACTACCTTTCACATCATGAATGCAAACACAGCCTCCCTTAAAATGGAAGTGGTGCTGCTCGAATTCCCACAGTTGGGCAGTCCATGAATTTCAGAGAGGGAGGGTGAGAGATGCCAACTCTGTATCCTAAAACAAACAATTAACATATCCAAAGGTCTGTCCCCTCGCCCTACTGCCCTGGTAATGCCAAGGGGGGCGGGGGGGGGGGGAAATGATACTGTGATTTATTTACCATCATAAAACACTAAGCACAAGACCAACGTTCTTACACGTACTCACAGATGACAGTTATTTTTAAAGAGTGAGTTTATATCAGAGATGAAAAAAAATGTGCAAATTCCAATAAAAGAGAAATAAGAAAAATAAAACAAAGGCTGCGATTCTACCTTAACTCTTACACCCAAGCTCTCCGAACCACTGAAGTTGCTTCACTGAAGTGAAGATTACTTAAGCAATTTAAAGACGTGGCAACGTCCTACAGGGGTCTAAGGTGTCTGACCCTCTGTGCTCCACACCAGGGATCACTGGGCCCCATCGCGGGCCCTCGCTGCAGGCGCTGCGCCAGCAAGTGGCTACTCTTTCCTTTTGGAATTTGGGGCGGAATTACGCGGCCGACCAGCCCCGGCAGCACGCGCGCCCTCCACCCCCCGCCCCACCTCCAGCTCCACCCCAGAGGGAGGAGCCCCACTTCCTTCCGGACCTCGGATCGACCCGCAAATCCGGGAAATTCCCTGGCCCGAGGCTGCGAACTCTCCAGCCCACCATGGATAAAAGGGGTTCGCTCGTCTCGGGAAGTCACACAGCCAGCACCACAGACACTCCTCACACCAGCTCTTCTGCTCCAGGCACCGCAGCCCAGATCTCCAAGCCGACCTCATGGCCCGCGCCGCCTCCCCAGCTACACCCCGCGCTCCCCGGCCCCTCCGGGCTGCGATGCTGCTCCTGCTTCTGGTCGCCGCCTGTCAGCGCGCAACAGGTAAAAACCCAGTGCACCTGGGTCTCAAGGGTGCAACGGCGGTGGGTGGGCGCCCATCGGGACACCCCCGCTGAGCCAGCCTGTTCCACCCGCAGGGGCGCCCGTGGTCAGTGAACTGCGCTGCCAGTGCCTGCAGACCGTGCAGGGAATTCACTTCAAGAACATCCAGAGTGTGAAGGTGACGCCCCCAGGACCCCACTGCGACCAAACGGAAGTCCTGTAAGTGCTGCTACCGCTATTGTGCTTGTCACCACCTTGCAAGCCCGGGTGCCCTCCACCATACCCCCCAGCCCTACCTCCTGCCTGACCGGATTCCCCCTTCTCTCTGCAGAGCCACTCTCAAGAATGGACAGGAAGCTTGTCTCAACCCTGCAGCCCCCATGGTTAAGAAAATCATCGAAAAGATGCTCAAAAAGTGAGTTCTGGGCTGAGTCACAGGTGACTAGAGCCAAGGATCTCAAATACTGGCATCTGCCTCCTGAAAATTATATGGAAACTCAGGCTTTAGTGAAGGACTGGAATTCATTATAGTTCAGACCTGAATTCACTATTAAGGTCATTAATCTGCTCTGGTGACAGGATATTACCCATGCTCTTAGCCCCCTTCCCACGCTCCATCCATTCAAATGAATGGGTAAGTGTACATTCCTAGGAGATTAAGTAGATTTGGCCACAGAAATGCCTCCTACCTCTTAAGGACCAATGTTTATTGTTTTGGTTTGGTTTTAGGCACAAGACCCTCTAAAAATTGTGGTGAACTTTGCCTCGGAACTTTGCCATGGAACACCCTTAGTTCAAAGGCTGGGATACCTGTAAAAGTTTTTTTAATCCCTGCCTGCAGATATCCCTGGAGTCTCAGGCATCAGTGTGAGAGAAGAGGAACTTTCCTTAGCACTTGTAACATTAACCCTTCTCTCTTTCAGGGGACAGCACAAACTGATCTAGAGAAAAGAAGCTCTTTGGTGGTTCTTGAAAGGTGGTCCCTGCCTTATAAGAAGTGAAAATGAAGATGGTAACAGCTGACTTCGGGAACACCTAGAAAATACTGTGCTTGGTTTTCAAATGAGATTTCTATTTATTTATGTATTTATTTATTTTTCAAAGCATGTATTTTAATACCTTATGTTAGTATTTAAAGACATGAATGTGTTTAATCAAAACACAATCTCATTGTCATTTAATTTGAAGGTGATGGTTTTGAAATGTCTCATCAAACTCATTTACTGGAAAAACATCGAGTGTCAGATACTGTGGTAGAATCAGGGGTGTGTGTGAGAGAGAGAGAGGGTTCAAGTAATTCAACAGTGAGATTACTGTTTGGGTCAGGGTAAATGCATACACAGATATTTTTCTGATTGTTTAAAAGAATGTCAGTTGCTATTTATTGAAATTATTTCATATTATATGGTCAACATTTTATGTTGAAACATCCCTTGGACATTTTATGTCTTCCTTGTAAGGCATAATGCCTTGTTTAATGTTCATTATACAATGGTTCTCTTTGTCTTGGAACAGAGAAGTTAAAACTCATGTTTTTATAAATGATATGAAAATAAAAATCTTGCTAAAAAGCACATGCTCCGGTTTTGTTTTATTCTTCTTGATCTTTGCTTTCTATTGGATGACTAAGGTGGAAGTTAAACTATAAGTCATGTCCAAATGTTTGCCTGCTCCTGGCTGTTACTTTCCTTATATTTCTGTTACTCAAAGAGGAATATTTGACACATTACCTCCTCAACGCCCTTGAGAATCTTAGCTTTATATAACATATTGCTGTTTTTCAAACTCATTAGTCATTCACAATTAGTTCTTCATAAACTTGAATTTCTATAACTATTTTAACAAGAGTTTCTATTAAACGCTTTTGGTAAGTAGGCTTTCAAACATTTATGCAACTCTCCCTTCTGATGAGATTGGGAGCAAAAGTTGGAAACATGAATTCTTCTGAAGAATTCCAACAATTTGTGCTATATAAAATAACAATTGTGGGCCTTCCTGGTGGCCGCAAGGGGTTAAGCACCGCACTATGAAGCAGCCCACAGCCTCTGCAGCATGAGTTCTGAAAGGTTGGGCGCGGTAAAGAAAAGGAGAGCCAGCCTAAATTTCTCAAAGGAAGGGAAAATTTATGGCATCCCGGCCAGACCTCACGGACCCAAGGTGGGGGTCAGTGAAGCCGAGACCGCTGTGGGGAGAGACGTCCCTTTTATAGGGTGAGGAGAGCTTAGGCAGGAAAACTGGGTTTGCAGGGGGGAAAACAGGTTTAGGCAGAACAAAGTTGTTTTTCATGGAGCCAAGTTGTTTTTCTCCTGTTTATGGCTTCAGTTTTGGTTTGATGGTATCCATGGTAAGCGGCCATCTTGTTTTTTTTCTATGTGGGCTTCCTCATTCCTGGCCCCTGCATAAACCTTTCAAGTTCGATCCCTGGCAGGCGGGGAAGCAACCCACATGGCACAGCAGACCTCTTCTGACTTGCCCGCTGCTCCCCTCAGCAGTGTATTTCAGTCAATCTGCCTATGCTGTTCCCACTCTATCTCTAGTGAATCCTCTCACCCCCCACACCTCTGGCCTGTACCCCAGCTCTTGTATACATAAATAAATAAATCTTTAAAAAAAAACATTATAAAATAACAACTGTAATGACCTATGGAGAAAAGCACAGTGTAAAATAAAAATGACAAAAATAACAAAGGATGGATACAGAGAAAAATGGATTTAGAATATGATACATATCTTCAATTGTTAAAGTATTAAGAAAAAACTAATGTGAAAAAATATAACAATTTTTAGGGCAATTATGAAAAAAGAAATGCAAAATTTTGGACACAAAAATCTGAAAAGGAGATAAAATGAGTAAGATAGCTAAATAGTACAAAAGAAGACAAAAATGAAGAAATAAAGGAGCAAAACAATAAGGCAGGGGGAGAGGAGACATCTCTTTTAGGAGAATGCCTAATTTTGTAAGTAGTCTGTCCTCTGAAAGTGCGGTTTAATTTTGCTTTCACTGTCAGTAAGGGCTGGGCTTTGTAACATACTTCCAAAGAAGCAATTAGGTTAAGTGGGGGAGCGGGGGAAGAATAATAACAATACCGTGTAGAAATCTGGTAGACCACTTTAACCCAGGTATTATTAACAGTTGTGTGACTACGCCTATATGATGTGATGGCATGAACACTTCATCTCTATACTATTCTGCTTCCCCAAAACCCATAATCCTAGCATTACCCTGAGGAAATTATCATAAAAATCCAAAATAAGGAATATTCTACAAAATACCTAACATTATTCTTCAAAATTGTCAAAGTCATGGAAAGCAAGAGGGCACAAAAGAATTATGATGTCTAAATCCAATGTTGTGATATGATGGATTGAAAAATATTCATTGAAAATTGGTGATATCTGAATAAAAGGCTAGAATTTAGTTAATAGCAATTTACCAATATTAAATGCTTAGTTTTGACAAATGTATTATAATTATCTAAGATTTCAACATTAGGAGATACTGGACAAGAGATGTACAGGAATTCTGTGTATTATATATTCATAGTTTTTATTAAAGTAGAATCATTCCAAATTAAAAGTTTACTTTTAAAAAGAAAAGAAAAGCAGAATAGCAAGATAGTGGATTATCTTCAGAATTATAATAAATTTAAATGGAATAATCAGTACAATTAAAGGTCAAAGATTTTTACTTTTTTTAGTCAAAAACCATATAAATAAGTTTGTGCTAATTAAAAGAAATACACGTTTTATATTAGAAATCAGATAACTTAAAATTTAAAGAATTGAAGGTGGTATATCATGCTAAAACTAAGTAGAAGAAACCTGACACGAATATATTATATTAATTACATATTAAAATTATTAATCTATTACTAACAAACATTTTAATATATTGGTTAATAATTGGTATATTAAGTCCTATTGAACATATTAGGACTTAAGGATGTAATCTTAGAAATATAAAAAAACTAAAAATAAAACGGTGGAAATTCTTCAAGAAGCAAAACAATTCTAAAATTTTATGGAATTAACAACATTGTATCAAAATATATAAAGCAACATGGAAACAAAGACAAAGAAGCAATAAATGAAACTAAAATTATAGTGAGAGATTCTAGGAAATCTTTCTCAATACTTAATAGACAAAGCAGTAAAGGATCAGTAGAGTATAGAAGATTTAAGCAATGTGATCCACCAACTTGGTCTGAGTGACATAATATACTTTACCCAAGTATTGCATAGATCGCTTTTGTTTTTTTCACATGTAAAGAACATTTTCTAAAAGATATCATATAGGGCCATAAAGAACATAAAAGATTGCAAAATGCTAAAACATTACAGAGGACATTCTCTGATATCAAGTTTTTATGATGATTTGTAATTTACCATATGATGTAACAGGTTTACTGTGGTTTATAACTCATCTCTCAGTTTCCTAAACTTTGCTTCCATAATACAGGAAGCATCAAAACAGAGTCATCATGCTTTTTCATACTCATGATAGTCCCATGTGATAAAAAATATTTTCATGAAAACATTTCCCATTTTTCTATTTATTTCTTTTGACTTGTTCTTTGTATTTTGGCACTTCCGTTATTTCTTTGATTCATAGTATGTGTAATGCAATATACTCATTACTACTTCCACAAACTGTTTTTAAAAATCTTAAGAAAATGGTTTATGTTGAGATATTGTTTGAAAACCTTAGAAGAATGCCCAAATTGACTATACTTGGTTGTTCTCAATGTTAATTAAAATGAATTTAAAAATTATAGATTGCTGAAATCATCAGGATTACTTTATGATTGCTGAAATCATCAGGAATAGAAGAAAAAGATTGGCTGTGTTGCTAAAGGAAGTAGGTAGTTTCAGTATTAAAGAGCTTCACATTTGAAGTTTTAGGTTTATTCACTATGAATCTTATACAAAATTGTCCCGTTGTATATTGTGATTTGTATATTGTATGTGCCTAATAAATGCTCTTTGAATTTAACATATACCTCATTTTCTGCACCTAAACCTGTAGGTTACCCCAGCTTATCCACCTTCCCCATAGTAAATAGCTAATAAAGATCACCATGTGGTTCATGCAAGAGGATCACTGGAACATCTTGAGATGCCATAGAGGTTCATCCAAACTTGGTAAAGGTAACACCCAAACTGGGTCCTGATTGACAAACAGAATCCTGTGGACACATGACCTCCAGTGTATGAGCCCTGTCCCCTATTCTACTTCAGTCTCTGCTTACGGAGTTCCAGCCACAGGAGTCATGTGCTACTCCTAGCATTCACCACACTTTTGCCAGTTGCCATGTCTTTGCTTGCTTGGCCCATTCCTGGACTGTTCCATCCCAGTGTCCTCCATTTACCTGGAATATTTTCATTCTTAAGATTCACATGAGTGGGGGCCTCCCTAGTGGCACAGGGGAGGTGAGAGCACTATCAAGCTATCACCAGCCACTGCAGCAGGAGTTTGATTTCCCCGGCCCACAGGGAGGTGACCCACATGGCACAGACCACTCCTGTCTTACCCTCTGCTCCCCTCAGCAGTGTGTATTTCAGTACATCTGTCTCTTCAGCTCTCCACTCTGTCTCTGGTGAATTCTCTCATTCCCCACACCTCAGGCCTGCACCGCAGCTCTTGTATGCATAAATAAATAAATAATCTTTTAAAAAAAATTCATGTGAGTGAACATCTCTTTCAGGAAAATTTTCTGACATCTGTCATGAACCCATTGTATAAAATTTGGAATAAATGTCCCTTCTCATGCTTATAATCATTGGCACAGTTTAATGTGGTTTTTGCCAGTCTTTTCTTTTTTTTTTAAGTTTTATTTATTTATTTATACAAGAACTGGGGTACAGACCAGAAGTGTGGGAGGGTGAGAGGATTCACCAGAGACAGAGCAGGGAATAGAATATTTGCCAGTCTTTCCTAAAATCTTCCACATGCACATTCATCTTCCCTATTGCACTAAGACTTAGAGGTCAGCAAAGTCTGTCCTCTCCCTGTTTATATTCCCAGAACCCAAATTCTTTCCCAGCTGAGAAATGTTGAATAAATGATGAATGAAAATGCTGAAACAAATGGGCAAGAAAGGAATTCAATTCAAGTTGAAGTGTTCTCCCAGTACAAAAGATAATTCTAGTAGTAAATGGATGTAGTAACAAAAACCCAGATCAGAATGGCTTAATGAAGTGGGAAATCCTTTGGCCTTTGGGTAGAAAAGATAAGGATGGTGGCTGAAGTTCAAAAATTCTTTTCCATTATCAATTTCACTCCAGATCACACTGCTTTTCTCTGTGCTGGCTTCATTTTAGCAAATTCTCCTCTAGCATTGGCAAAACTCCTAGTGTGTATTAAGCCATGTATAACTCAGCAGGAAACTAGGGCCTGTTTTCCCAATCATTTCCTTACAAAAAAGACTCCAGTGGATTTTCCTGACTCCATCAGGTTTAGGTCACTTGCCCTCCCCTGCATTTACCAGAGTGGCTAGGGGTTGAACACAATGTATTAGGACGGGCCAGTACTACAAGGGTAATCGCCCCACTGGAGCTTTGGAGTAGGATCATACTCCCTGAACTACTCAGATTGTGAGTAAGAAGAGTTGGTTCCCAAAGGAAAACCAAGATTCTGTAACAAGGAAAAATCAAGGTTCTGTAACCAGAAAGAAGATGAGACTCAGGCTAGCCAGACAGAAATGACAAATATACTGGTGACTGGGTCAGGTGGATGATATTGACACTAAATGAAATGTTTGAATGAAAGAAGTAAACAGATCTGGAGATTCAATGCCACATTCAGCCATCCTCATGACTTTCCTTTCCCCCTTAAAGCCAGAGGCATTCTACCAGAAAACAAAATTGCAGCAGAATGAAGTTGGCTATTATGATGGTATGATTTCATAATCTCATAACAGTCACACCACCTCAAGATCTTATTATTTTTTTGACCTCAGGGTTTTAAAGTTACCAGTCAAATCTGCAAGATGCAATAAAAATGGTAGCTCAAAATGGAATTTAGCAACTCATGTTTTAATTTTGGAAATGAGTCCATTCTTTTAAGATTGAGATTGCATGAGTTTAAAGTTTGAGCATACAACTTCTCATTCAGTTCATAAATAAGGACTTAGCAGTGGAGAGTATCTGTTAACAGATTTGGATTATTTCAGTAGATTTTAAGGCATCACTGTTTTTTTTTTTAATTTTTTGAAAAATAAATATGGGTTTTTAGGGATTGAATTATAAGAACTGGTATATTAAGGTAGATTTGTACTCATTTTATAAGCAACTGATGTTTCTTGAGCAAGTCTTAGGCAGAAAGTTATAGATGATTCTACAAAAGTGAGGCTCCTTCTTGAGCTGTTTCATCCTTTTGGCTCTGGCTGTAAATTCTTGATGCTCTATTCATTCACACTGAGTATTTGCTTATGACAAAACTTTGGGTTGGATCTGGAAATCATTAGAGGAAATGGAAATCATTTGAGGAAACTCTTTATTCTTAAATTATAAGGAGAGTACAATTCTGGAGAGCCCACTGCTATTGCTGAAGGCAAAATACACCAGTTATTAAATATTTTAGTTACTTAAACCTAACAAAGTGTCATAACTGAGTCAGCCAAAAACTTTGATCCTCCTCTCAGCAACCAGGGTGAACTAAAATGCCCAGTTTCCCTTTGAAAACTCCTTGTATAGAATATTCCCATTGACCTGAGTTTGGACTTGAAGGTGATTGATTCAGAATATTGGATAAACAGACAAATAAATATAGATTTCATTACAGCATATCGCATTGATGCCATAAAATAAAATTATTGCTATTAGTGAAAGAAAATATTGGATACTTTTGAGAAGTTTGCTATTTTTAAGCTTTAGGAAAACTGGAATGGAATTATTTAACATGAGAATAACAAACATTTAAAACTAAATTAAAAAACTGCTCTTTAGAAGTTATCACTGATCTCAGAGAAAAAATATTTTTTTATTGTTTAGTAGTTAAAGTTGTACTATTTCTAGGTTAAATGTAGAATTCTATTTGCTGTGAGACCTTAGCAAATTACTTAAATTCTTTGCCCAGTAGAAATTACAATGTGGAGAAAAAACATGGGGCAGTTGAAAAGAGTCAAGGGTTTTATACATATGTAAAGAATTAAGACACCACCTATTACTTCAAGTATTCTTTATTGTAACATTTAATATTTACCCAGTATATCCCATGTTACTAAGAATATTGAAGAAAAAAAGGAACTATCTGCTAAATGTGTCCTTTGAATAAAAATTTAACATATCTCTGACCTTGATAGTCTCTCTATGGTAAACAGATGTACATCTAATATATTTTTAACTTAAAAAAATAGGTTTCTCAGGAAAACACTGTTCTCAATTAAGAAGCCTAGAAAAGTGGCCTCCCTGGTGGTGCAAGGAGTTAAGCACCACACTATGAAGCAATCCGCAGCCTCTGCAGCACGAGCTCCATTCCAGGCCAGCCAGAGAGAAACGCACATGGTGAAGCAGACCTCTCCTGTCTGGCCCCTGCTCCCCTCAGCAGTGTATTTCAGTCAGTCTGCCTGTTGTGTTCCCTACTCTGTCTGGTGAATCATCTCACCACCCCCACCCCGCGTCCCCCATCTCTGGCCTGTACCCCAGCTCTTGTATGCATAAAAAAATAAAAATAATAAAATAAAAAAAATGAATCCCAGAAAAATAAGGATAGCAACAGCAATATCTTAAAAATTCTCAACTATTGATGTTACTCAAATGTTTCATAAATTTTAGGTCTTTTATTTCCTATTCTTTTAAAAAAATTCAATTCTCTGTTTTTTAATTAATTGTACTGATGATTACTGTAAAGATATAAGGACCCAGAGTCATTTATAATCTAGTAATTTTTCATCTTTCTGAATAATTATGATGGAGTAGTTTTACTTTTTTTTCACATTTTGTAGAAATTACTAAAATTAGAATTGTAAAATCACCCAACAATTAATCCAACAACAAAAAAATTCATTCTAAGTTTTCTCTTAAGAAAGAAAAACTACATCTTGATCCAGTCATCTATTTTTGGGCATTTGGGTTGTTTCCAAAGCTTAGCTATTGTAAACAGTGCTGCTATAAACATAGGGGTGCAGGTGCTATATACACCATGGAATATTACTCAGCATTCAAAAAAGATAAACACATGCAATTTGCAGCAACATGGATGGCACTGGAAGGGATCATGCTCAGCGAAATAAGCCAGAAAGAAAAAGAAAAATACCAGATGGTCTCACTCATAGCAGGACTCTAGAAAACTTAAATAAGGGACCAGGAAAATGAATAACTATAAGAAAGTGAAAATCAAAATCAACAAAAAACTATGAACCAGAGACTCTCGGGGGAGGTGGGGGGCAGGGAGGGGAGGGATTGGGGTCAAAATAAGGGGGTTGCAATTGTATGGGGAATATAAAAATAAAATTTATTTAAAAAATAAAAATAAAAAAATAAATAGCTAGCACATATATTGGATGAGATGATAGTCTAATGGCCAGTGTAAATAGTTAGAATTTTTTCCTGTAAACTATGATTTTCTTTTAAAAATAAAATTTCATCTTTAGCTGAAAAAAAAAAAAGAAAGAAAAAGTAACACAAAAATTTTATATTGGAGGATTTTTTTGTTGTTATATTTTGGGAAGGTTATTTTGCAAAAATTATTTTCTCTTTGTACAAGGACTTAATCCCCAGGTGAGTTTTAGCTCAGCAAAATGGAAAAATAATGTGTATTGTATTTATTTAAAAAGTATTTAGTATGGCAATGAATAACATCAACCCATTTATTCATGATAACAACCCAGTGAGGTAGATACCAACATTTATCTCCTTTTACAGATGAGAAACTAAGACAAGTTAGATGTGACACCCCTGTTGTTCAGAGAGCTGCCATCCTACCTACCAGTCTGGAGCTTCCTGCCCTGTGTCCCTGTCCACCTCGATAATATACCTGTTCTCCTTCCCCTCCACATACCTTTCCCCTTCCCACACTTTTCAGCCATCTGCATTGAAATCACACCCGCCCACACCATCTGAAACCTACTTAAATCCACCAAAGAACATTAAAACTGAGGGTGAAAAAAAATGAGCTCCTGAATGACAAAGACTGGAATTAATTGTTTTGGTAAACATCAGTGCAAACAAAATATGACTGATGATTTTTCTATGGAGAAATAAATTACACTGGAGACAGAAAGTCCACATACCATGGAAATAAAATGAGATTTTTTATTCATAAAGCAAAGATATGAGATTAGATTAGTGATCTACCACTTACATATTTTACAGGAATATCTTTTTCCTGCTTAGATGAGCACTAGGAATGGCTCCTGATGCCTTTGATCAAAAGAAAAGAAAAAGAAAAAGAAAAGAAAAGAAAAGATCAGAAATAAGCAAAAACAAAAGTGCTTGGTCAAAGCTACAAACTGTGAACTCCCTCAGCCCAGCACAGATTTCCCTCCCATCACAAGTCCAAAATGATCACCAGTCCCTTTTCCACAAATTATTCAATGCCCTCTACACTGAAAAGATTACATTCAAGGATTTACTCCAGCTCTGGAAGTTCCAGTATTTCACAGAAGGAAGTAACGTAGAATTGCGACACTCAGTCTTAAACAGTGAATTGTATTAACACAGATCACCTCCTCGACCCTGTGGGATGATATAGCAAAAATGTGCCTGTCTATGTTTGTAAAATACCAGAACCAGGCGAACATCTCTAAACTATTTTATGTATAATCTCAAATGACAGCTGCATTTTAATAGTGTACTTAAGGAGATGAAAATAAAATCAAACCAGAAGGTATTTACATGTAATAAAGGGAAAAATTAGATCTCTCCCCAACACCCTCCCGGATCCGCCCTAATCCCCCTGGTCCTGATAACTAACATTACGCATGATGACTGTCCACTAACCAGTGACACAGTCCTACAAGGCGATTCACTTTCCCATTAGCGATTTGGGGCAGACAGATATTTCAGAGTCCGCACAGTTACTAGGGAGGCAAGGCGGGTGGCATTGGCCGGTACCCGCAGCCCTACTCCACCCAAGGGGAGGGGTTTCATTTCCTACACTACCGGGGGTACGTCAGGGAATTTCTGGCTGCGGGATTTCCCGCCTGAACCTTCGATAAAAGGGGTTCGCTCATCTCAGGGAGTCACACAGCCAGCACCACAGACACTCTCCACACCAGCTCTTCTGCTCCAGGCACCGCAGCCCAGATCTCCAAGCCGACCTCATGGCCCGCGCCGCCTCCCCAGCTACACCCCGCGCTCCCCGGCTCCTCCGGGCTGCGATGCTGCTCCTGCTTCTGGTCGCCGCCTGCCGGCGCGCAACAGGTAAAATCGTGGTGCCTGGGAATCCCAAGAATGGGACTGGGGTCCGTGGGCGCCCATCGGAACATCCCCGCTGAGCCAGCCTGTTCTGCCTGCAGGGGCGCCGGTGGTCACTGAACTGCGCTGCCAGTGCCTGCAGACCGTGCAGGGAATTCACTTCAAGAACATCCAGAGTGTGAAGGTGACGCCCCCAGGACCCCACTGCGACCAAACAGAAGTCCTGTAAGTGCTGCTACCGCTATTGTGCTTGTCACCACCTTGCAAGCCCGGGTGCCCCCCACCATACCCCCCAGCCCTACCTCCTGCCTCACCGGATTCCCCCTTCTCTCTGCAGAGCCACTCTCAAGAATGGGCAGGAAGTTTGTCTCAACCCTGCAGCCCCCATGGTTAAGAAAATCATCGAAAAGATGCTCAAAAAGTGAGTTCTGGGCTGAGTCACAGGTGACTAGAGCCAAGGATCTCAAATACTGGCACCTGCCTCCTGCAAATGTACCCTGGAAAGTCGGGTTCGGTGAAGGACTGGAAATCATTATAGTTAAGAGCTGAATTCACTATTAAGATTTAATCTGCTCTGGTGACAGGATATTTCCAGTGCCCTGCATCCCTATCAAATGGATGTGGGTAAAGAAGATTTGATAGATCTAACATTTACTAAAGAAAATAGTTTTCCCACATATAGGAAAAAACAATGTTTGCCTTAGCTGCTCATGGACTGCAGGACTGAAAAGTGAGGCCCCTGATTTTGGGTGCATTGCCCTCCAGAGTTAAGGTGAAGAGCAGGGGCTTTGCAGTAAACCCCATCCCCTCTCAAGTGTAAATTTAGGCTACAGGAAAGTACTCAATCTTTTTTGAGTCTTCATAAAATGGGGAAAATAGTAGTAATTACCTCATGGGGTTTGCTATGAGGTTTAAATGGCGTCATGCGTGTACATTTGTAGCCCAGCGTGGCCTTATGTTCTGGCCTTTTGAAGCTAAAATTAATGATGTAATTTAGACCAGATGCTCTTTATTCCCAATTAAACAGCATCCAGGAGTTTGGCATTTTCCTTCACACAGGGCAGCAGTGGTATATAGGTAGGAACCACTTAGTACAGGGCTATGCAGTCAAATTTTGAATTCTACTAATAGCAACCATTTTCTCACTATAGGCACCAAATGAACTGAAGAAAAGGAAGACACTTAAAAGTTGCTGTTCCCTCCTGAGATGAATCAGATTGAAAACAGAAGATAAACAAATGAATCCTGGAGCCACTGGGACTATTTTTAAAGTGCTTGACTATTTTTCATGAGCCTTCTTCTATTTATTACATATTTATTTATTTATTTTTTAAAGCTTATGCACTTATGTTTTATCTAATATTTAAAGATTTGAATGTTTGGTAATTTGCCATACTGGAATTTTAAAAGATCATTTTATGTTAAACCCAAGTTAGTTCAGTCTTGACTACTATTTAATTTTAAGGAAATATGTTTTAAATGTTCTTCATTCATGAAACAAAATTTTTTTAGAGGCAAGACCCCACCATACCATTCCATCCACTATGATAAAGGCTGGAAATGAGTTAAGGGATTCAAACAGACCGGTCACTGTGTCAACTCTCTCCCTCCCCTGTAACAACTGTAAAGGCAGGGGAATGTGTGCATACATCTGGTGTGTACTATTAAGAAGAATGTCAGTTGTTATTTATTGAAATGATTTCATAGTATGTGGGCAACATTTCTGATGTTTAAATTTTAAAAAGGACAATGTTCTCATTATCCCTTGGACATTTTGTCTTCTCTGTAAGGCATATTGCCTTGATTAGCATTTATTATGCAGTGTTTCTGGAATGTATGTCTTGGAATAGAGAAGTTTAAATATTTATTAATGTAATCTTATAAATAACATGAAAAATAAAGGTTTTTTTTAAACAAACATTTCTTGCTTAGAATTGGTTTTTTACTTCTTAACCTCTTGTTCCTCCTGAATACCCAAGCGTTGTAAATTTGTGACACACTATAGCTCTCCTGCTCTTAATTGACTCATAGGGCAAGCAGATACCTTCTAGGGTCAGACTAGAATAAAGAAGTCTCCAGAAATGAGGGCAACAAATTCCAACTAATCAAACACCCCCAGGACTATGGGCAACAGGACATTCTGGAACAAGGATGATAAATACAAAGGACTTTAGGATAAGGGCTGGGACACAAAACTTAATTCTGAGCACAGAAACATTAAGATGTAGTGAGTGAGACCACCAAGAACTAACCAATCACAAAGAGACTGACAGGGCTTTGGAATAATTAGGGAAAAAAGGTGCGTATTCTCCAAGGCATGACTCTACTTTGGCTTCCTTGTCCTTCCCTGGCCTGGTTCCACTGGCCTGGGAGTCCCACTTTATTTGTTCCTTTTCTCCTTAATAAAATTTTTCTTATATCTATTCTCTAAACAAATCTGCCACTTTTCCCTTGCTTGCGTAGTTCCTGCTGTGGTTTGGTGAGACACCAACCTGTGGTGGTCTAGAGGCTGGGACTCAGCACTGCTGCTGCAGCCTGGGATCGGTTCCTGGCTGGGAGACCAGACCTGAAAACCTGAAATTATGGATTTATAATGACTGCCACTAGCTGGCACACCTCTTGTTTCACTCCTGTTATAGAAGGCATAGTTGATGCTGTTACAGGGCAGGAAAGAGGTACCAATTTCAAAGTCCATTTTGTTAAGAATCACTACTTTACATAAAATATTCATTTTGTATAACCAACCCATTATTCACTTCTAGTTCGTAAAATTTTTCCAATATTTTTCCTTATTTCTTTAAAAGCCCTCACTAAATTACTTTGTACAATGGTTTTTCAAACAATTATACATTCTCTCCCCCTTTTTTTTTTTAAAGATTTATTTATTTATGCATACAAGAGCTGGGCTACAGGCCAGAGATTCGGTGTGGGGTGGGGGGGGGGTGGTGAGCAGATTCACTAGAGACAGTGTGGGGAAGAGAACAGGCAGATTGACTAAAGTACACTGCTGAGGAGAGCAGCGGTTGAGTCAGGAGAGGTCTGTTGTGCCTTGTGGGTTTCTCCCTGGCCAGCTGAGGAACTCGTGCTGCACAGGCTGCAGATTGCTTCATAGTGCGGTGCTTAACCCCTTGCACCACCAGGGAGACCCTATTCTCTCCCTTCTTAATGAAGCAATGGGGAAAAAAGAAAAGGTGAGTGGCTAAGTCCTTCTGTGTAAAGGTAAAATTGAGAAGGGTGGAGAGACCATTGTCATTAAGTTCAAGGCAGTAACAATGCTTAGTGTGCCCTGTGAAAGGTTAAATGTTTCTAAACCATTAAATTTGCATTTGAATCACACCCCCCAAAAAAAAAGAAAAAAGAAAAAATGACAAGAGCACAACCAGTTTCTACCTAAAAACAAAGGTTTTCTTTTCATGCTAGAAGATTTAAATAACTCTGGAGAGGAACACATTCCAAATCAGAGAAAGTGGAAATTTGGTTCACATGGGTTGGGCAGGTAGGGTATGTGATTGTCTTTGACTGAGGGCCTGTTCCTGGGCTTATTTAAAACTTTCAGTGAAAGGAAGGTGTTACAGGGCAGGGAGAGGGGCACCCCAAAACCCCCAAACCTGCTCACTCTAAATAGGTTCTGCCATATACTGTCTCACAACAAACATTTATTATAAGACCTTTAATGGTAAGTAATTTTAATACAATTACTGTGTAATACAGAAAAGATAAAAAAATATAGTTTCCAAGTCAAGCACCCAAAGTTACCCATCCCCTCATGGGTAGAAGTCCACCCAAACAACATTGGCTCAGAGCAAGGCCCGAAAGCCTGCCACAAGTCTAAAGCACCTTCTGGCAGGGACCCTTAGAAAAGAGCAAAAACAGCCAGACAAGTCTGGGAGGAAAAGAGCAAAATCAAAACAAGATAAAAGCTGCCATTGTTAACCTCCCCATGGGTCTCTCACCCATGTCTGTTTTAAACAGCCCAAGACCAAGAAGCAAAGGCGGCTTCTTTACATGTCTCTCTGCCCCATGTGCCTCTTCCAGATCTCCTTCTTGTTATCCATCCTGCTTCCTTCCTTCTCCAGTATCCTCTCTAGCTTCTTCTCCTCCCTGCTCAGCTCCACCCTCCCTTTGGTGGGGCTGGGAACCTGGAATATCCCTTTTTCCTGGGGACCACCTTGTTTCAAATGGAGCTTGTTCAGGCTCATCTTAAGCAGTTGGGCAACTGCAGACAAGGAACAACTACTCTGAGCCTCATATCCTCCCCTAACAAATAAGTATAACAGACTCTTTATAATTCCAATGGTATTTGCTCAGAATGAGTGAGATAGAAAAGCAATTTTAAATGTATGGAGGTAAATGCAAACCATTCTGGAAACTCCACAAATACCACAATGACTCTTCCATAACCCCAAGTCAAAGGAGTAAGTTTTAGATTTAAGGAATAAAATTTCCTTGGATTTCTCAGTGTTCTTGCAACAACTCCTAGCTTTGACACATATGTATATCAGTAGCCATTTGTGGTATGTATAATTGTTGTATGAGTATCTGTAGTCATTTGTCTAGTTAATTAATCTGATCCTAATAGATAATAAAACTAATCTTCCTAAAAAGGATGCAATGGATCCTTGGTGTAGCCTGCTGGTGGGTGCTATCTTTCTAGATATTTATATGTCAAAAGAGACAAAGCCATTAAATTTAGAGATACCCAGAGGTCATAAAAGTGGAGACAAGGACCAAATTGGCACTTAAAGATTATTTTTGCACCAACTGGTTGGAGTTAAGACTCAGGCCCTTTGAGTTTTCAAGAAGAAAACCTTTAAGGAGGGGAGAGGAATAAAATCTTCATTCCCCCTTATTAGCAGAGAAAATAACTTTTCCCTGGCCCCTAGCTTATGGAGTGTTTGGCTGCTGACTTCATTGGCATTGTAAACTACCAAATCATGGCTTTTGCCCTCCTGCAGAAAGCCACACTATGAAACACAAGAATTGTCTGTATGTGAAATAATTTTTTTGAAATGGCCATCAAGGGAGTTAGCAATCAGGTTAGCACCCTAATAATACCTACTTCCTAAACCTCAGGAGTGCTGTGATTTTATAAGGATGGAAGGAATGTGAGGGAAACTTGGGGGCTTTGCATTTCCAGGTCTGAGGAGGACTGGACAATCCAGGCAACTTGAGTCGGGGCGTTTGACCTTTGCAGCAGTTTTCTCAGCCATCATGAGATGTTTGTTTCAGATATCATTATCACTTCACAGAAGCACAGAGAATTTTTATTAGGATTACAAAATAGTTTTCCCAACTCTTCCAGAAATGCAGTTAGAGCAAGTTGAGGTTAATCATAAGGAGGAACTAAGGGACTGTTATTCAGTGAGTTAATAGTTAATCCTAAGGAGGGTGCAGTAGCAAGCAGCTTAATTCTGCTTGTTAGTAAATTTATCATCTAGAGGAACTTCTGCTGTTGTAAAGTGGTACTGTTATAGGACAGGGAGAGGGGCAGCCCAAACCCCGCAAACCTGCCTATTCTACATGGGTTCTGCCATCCGCCACATCAACACAAAACATAGGAGACTTTAATGGGAAGGAACTTTAATAAAACTAGGAAACAATACAGGTAAGGCAAAGAGTCTAGTTTCTAAATGAAGCATCCAGAGTTACCCGTCCCCTCGTGGGTAAAAGTCCATCCAAATGGGATTGGCCCAGAACAAGGCCCCAAAGCCTGCTACAAGTCTAAAGCATCTTCCAGTGGGGACCCACAGAAAAGGGTCACAAACAACTGGACAAGCCCGGAAGGAAAAGAGCAAAATCAACATCAAGATAAAAGCTGCCATTGTCACCTCCCCACGGGTCTCACCCACATCTGTGTCACCCAGTCCACGACCAAAAGACAAGTGCAGTTTCTTCACGTGTCTCTAGGCTCCATGCGCCTCCTCCAGGTCTCCTTGCTCCATCCTGCTTCTTTCCTCAGTATCTTCTCCAGCTTCTCCTCTTCCTGCTCAGCTCCACCCTCCCTTGGGTGGGGCAGGGAACCTGGAACTTCCCCCTTTCCTGGGGACCACCCCGTTACAGTAGGTTTCCGGCTACAGCATCATGCAGGGAACAAGGCTGAGGCAAACTGGGAGTGACACAGACTCACTGTGAGGTAATCCATAAGAAAGCTGCCTTTGATCTTTAATATCTCTTGTGTGCATTCAGGATAAAATTATTAAATGTGAATATTAAAACTCAACATAGGCTTTGATAACTTGGTGTGTGGAAAGAAGAATGAAGGAGGTAAGCCATGTTCATATAGCGATTA